ACACCCAAAAGTGTTTTCGACTAAGAATACCACTCTTAGTCGTGAGGTCCATATCAAGGACGACTGTACACGCGCCGCTCACTTCAAAGGACGCCGCCACCATATATATAGGGGACAGCAAGACAGCCTGAGTAGATGTATCCAGAGACGAGAACAATAACACACGACTCGCTTAGCCGCCCAGCCATCACACACAACTTACACGGAGATTATCAATTTCGGAACGAGCTACAATTCGCTACAATCAACACTACTATTCTGCTTATTTTGTCTGGTTTAATATAATACATTTGATTACCAAACTAATTTGACTATTATTATTTATCAAAGTACATCAGCTTTTGGATCCCTGAAGGGCCGCATGTAACAACAGTTCAAGAACCGGTCTTCTCTACGTCTAAATATTATCTTCGGCGGTACAAATAACGTTCAGTGCATACCTAAAATATTAAGGAATTATAAGGAAAAACGGGAATTTTTACCCAAAATCGGTTTTCGAGAAAATCGTTTTTGGTTTTTGGTGCGACTCTTAAACAAATATGAAATGATCGTACATGAAATTTTGACTGAATGTTTATATGAACATTTTCTATACACCATAATAATTAAAAAAAATAAAAAAATAAAATTTCTATAAGAAAGTCAAATTAAATTTTTATGAGCGTTTGAAATTCAAATTTTTACAACATTGGATATTCACTTGATTTCTCATGGAGTGATTTCCTTATTTTGTTGTAATTCAAAAACGAATAACTGTAGATACATAAAAATTTCACTGAATATTTATATTAGCATTTCCTATACACCATACAATTTTGAAAATATTTTGACTCTTTTTGAGCTGTTAGTCTGTTTTCAGTTTTCAATTATTTTAGTTTTTTTTACTATAAATATCAATAAAGTTTTATCTGTTGGGGCAAAAAGTGTAAAAATGTAATACAAGGCTCCTGATATATTGTTACAATATCAGTTGAAAAATATTAAAAATACATAAGCACAATTTTTTTTTTTTTTTCATTTAAAGATTGAATTTTGAAAAAATGTATCAAATTTAAAATTGAATAATTTTTTTGTAGTTAAAATGTATAAAATGTTCAACTTTTATATCTAATAGGATTGAAAATTTAAAACAAGATTCTACGTAAGTAGATAGTTAATTCTGTTACCAAAAAATCTAAAAAATACATAAGCTCAGTTTATTTGCATAGTCATTTTAAGTTCAAATTTGTACGAAATTACATATTAAAATACCTAGAGTAACTATTTTAGTTATTTTATTGTGATTGTATAATATTATTCGTGGGCACTTGAAACTTCTAAAGTATACTTATATATCCATGATAGTATCACGGTTTGTTATTGTAACTCGTTATAAGTGCCTAATGGATTCTTGTAATATGATTAATTTTTAATTTATTATAGCCTATAGGTACCTATTATAGTTCCGTTTGTTTAAAAATTAGAGTGAATTGATCTCTTATACAATTTAAAGACAAGTGTATTATCTAGGTAATCTCCTGGGGCTTTATATTATATTTTAATTTTAAAGCAAGTAATGAATATTTTAAGATGAACGAAAAATTCACAATTTTACAAATAACTGTCACCACTTGTTCGCGCATATAAAAGTTATATTCTTTTTTGGTGTGCTCTAATCATGCTCTTAATTATGTAGTATAATCAAGGTCGTTAATCGCCATATATTATTTATTTTGTGACCGCAAATATTATTATTTTTTATATCGCCGTTTATACTCAGCGGATTCCTGTCGACGAGGAGTCGACCAACACACTATTCTTATACTGTTAGTATTATATTATATGTGAACATAATATAATATAATATTATTCAGGGGTTCACAACAAAATCACTTTTAGTTAATGTATGTATTTTGTGAGACGTCTAATATTTGATGTTTTTGGTAAATATTAAACAATTTTAAATGTAACTAAGATAATATTATTTTTATATTTTATAATTACATTTATATTTTATTATTAAATTTCGAATAGGTACCTAGTTCAATTATTTTGTCATTAATGCTACATTGGTACGTATTATGACTGATAAAACCTACTTAAAAACATAAGTGGTATTCGAAAAAATTAGTTCAAGTATCTATCACAACGTAAACAAGATAACATATTACAATAATCAAAGTGGATCTATGAAGAAAATGTCGGTCTCGTCTACAACAAGACGAGAGACGCCACACCGCCACAGTCATCAATAAAGTCGGTGTGCACTACGCATCGATATTCGGCATCAGATAGCCAGATAGGTAGGAATTTTCTAATTTCAATTTCAATTTTTATATATTTTAATATATTGATTAAATACATCGATTAATGATTATATAGGCTCATATTTCAATAAGTACCATACGTATTGCCCTGCAGTATTGCCTATTACTCGTTACCGCGCTGAATTCAATTAAATTACCTACCTACTACAAATAAGTAAGAAATAAATTCTATAAATTGAAATAATTATAATCTATAAATTCTTTAAATCTAATTTAGTTTTATAGAATCAATATTACATTGTAATTTTAATTTTTATTATTATTTAAATATATTTTTGTTGTGACACCGCAGATGAGTGAACTACCAAGAAAAAATTGATACAAGTGATATTGTAAAGATCACTTAATAATACAAAAAATAAAATTCCTTGTATTTGTTTTTGATAATATCACCTATTCGCGGCAGTCTGCAACAGATATATACTTAAACTAAATAAATTAAAGTACACTAAACCTGTCATTATGCACATTTAATCTACAATATAGGAACAATGAACATAAATAACAATTCCTTAATATTTATTTCAACACTTATTTATACTTGAAGTTATCCATTATATCTTAGTAATTTTATAACAGCAGTAGGTACTTTGTTGGTCTTTATACAGGTTCTATACTAAAATGTATTATTAGGTCCTCGTAATATGGTGAACGATGATATAAAAATGTATCACAATTTTTAAAATAATTTCAAAGGTGTTATGTCGGTGAAAAAAATGGATGCCTTACATAATTCATCGAGTGAAAGGGATCCAAAACAAGTTCTGACATCCAAAGAATGTGAACCAACTAATTTTAGAAATAACTCTCACTCTGTCAGAATACTAGAAGATTTGCAATCTCTACGCAAGTATGTTAAAGGCGATTTTAGCTTTAATAAAAATAAATATTAGTAACGAATATTTGTTTTTAGAAATGAAGTATTATGTGATATTAGATTTGAAACAGACGATGGATGTACAACGTTTGGCCATAAAAATGTTTTAATGGCAGCTAGTCCATATTTCCGTGCAATGTTCAGTAATTATTTTTATACATGTTAATATATCATATTTTCTTACAAGAAAAACTCTCATTGTTCATACTTCATAGTTCATACACTGTAGAATAGACAGAATTCGTTAATTTTTTTTATATAATACACTGTATTAATCAGTGGCGCCGAAGTAAATACTAAGGTTGGCCACATTTTATTTACATCATAAATGAGCATGATTATATTATTTAAACAGTGATTATGAATAAATATATATTAGGGTTCCTTCATATTAAATAACTAAGATAGCAACTAAAATATAAAATATAATTTTCAAATTTCATAGAAACGCGGAAAATTGGAAAAACCGGCAACAACACCGTCAATATAAGAAAATTAGATTCCACTGTCTTGCAACTATTATTAGATTATATTTATACGGGTGAAATTATCGTCACAAAAGAAAATGTACAGGTATACATAACTAAAAATGTGATTTGTTACAGACAATAAAACACAATTACTCTAAATGTATTATTGTTGAATGTTGATTTCTCAAGGTCTTGTTACCAGCAGCAAGCCTCTTACAATTAGATTTTGTAAATGACGCATGTGTTGAGTTTTTACAAAAACAACTAGATCCATTAAATTGTATTGATATCAGAGCGTTTGCTGACTTACAGAACTGTACGGAATTGTTATCAAGTTGTGAAGCGTTCATTAAAAAACATTTTTTGTAAGATATAATTTCATTAACTTAATTCTCTATATTTCTCAATCGTACATAAAATATAATATAATGATAACTATTTTCAGAGAAGTGGTTAAAAGTGATGATTTTCTATCTTTATCTTCTGATGATGTGGTAAAGATTATCTCCTGTGATGATCTTGCTGTTCCATATGAAGAAAAAGTAAACAAACTGCAATATTAGTAATATTTATTGTAACATCGAGATCAACTAGACACAAAGAGCTAACATGTACCTACTAAAGACCTGCTAGGGCCGGCCCGACCCAACCAGGTTCTTAAAAAGCCGTAGCCGTAGTGACGTTGGACCGGACTGGGCCTTTGAAATAAAATAAAGGGTTGGACCGGGCTTTTTAAGTCTTGGAATTTTATTCCGGACCGGACCTGGGCTTTTTTTGTACAATTTTTCGGGCCGGGCCGGGCTGGACTTCGAATAATAAATCAACGGTTGGACCGGGCTTTTTATGGACTTTTCTTAATAATCACAATTTAAAATAATAAATAATAATGATAAAAACGGACGTTGGTACAGATATATACATATAGAGTATACTCTATTACTCTATGGATAGTATATATAATCACAATGAATATAACAGGGGTGGCCAAACCGCGGCTCGCGTCATAGACTTTTGCGACTCGCATCTTATCGTAACATTAAAAAAAAAATTTTTAATATGAATTTATGTATTTGAAAAAGTATAATATTTTATTAAATTACTGTGTACAGAAAAAAATTTGTAAAAATAAAGTATTCTTGATATCATTTTTCTTAATTGACTATTTTCTTATTTGTTGCGTGTTTATTTTGCTTGTAAGCTTTTTAAAATCAGGACTATATGTTGTTAACGCAGTCCTTAACAATTCAGTTAAATGATCATCCGTTAATGTTGATCGATGTTTAGATTTAATCATTTTCATGGTTGAGTATAAAGACTCGCAAGAATATGTTGTTCCAAAAATCGATATTAACTTTTGAGCGCAAAGAGTAATTTGTGAATATTTAATAACAGGCACATGTTTCCAAAATTCCAACAAAGAATGACAACTGTATTGAACTGCTTCAGTCCTTCATCTTCCAATAATTCCAAGAGTTCAATTTCTAAAGCTGCCGTATCCATTGAAATCGATTTTAATATTGGACATCCATTTTCAATAACGTTAATTACAAAGGGATTTTCTAGAAATGCATTCCAAGGTTTAAGTAATTTCAAGTCTTTAAATCGATCTTCAAAGTGAGTTGATAAACACTCTAATTTTTGTACATAATCTTCACAATTCAATTTTGTTTCTATTCCAACCAAATAATCCTCAACTTTTTTTAAATACGGAAAATGGTTTAAATAATTTGTTCTTAAGTCTCTTTGAAAAAGTTTAAGCTTATTTTGGAAACTAAAAATGTCTTGTACTAGGTTATTTATAAATTTATTTTTACCTTGAAGAGACATATTTAATGTGGCTAAGTGATGCACAACGTCAGTACAAAATGACATATCTCTTAACCATTGTGGGTCTGAAAGTTGTGGAAAATTTTTATCTTTTTCTTTTAAAAATGTTTTGATATTTATGGTATTTATGAAGATAAAATTTAATTTGAGATTATTGTACAATTATTGTTATCTTATTCTTCACATTTTATTAAATACCACACCTTAACTTATCTTATTTACAATAATACAATATCTGATATATAAATATATATATAAAAATTATATAATAATATGACCTTTTTTTTTTACATTTTGGCTCTTCCATATTTATTAATATATTTGGTGGCTCGCAAGTCATTTCTCGCTGGCCACCCCTGGAATATAATAATATATTGATTGGTGGGTATAATAAAGCTATTTATATATACCATAATAATATGATATTTTTTGGATCTTGCCGGACCGGGCCTGAGGATAAAATTGATGGACCGGACCGGACCGGGCAGCAAATTTACGGCCCTTGCAGGTCTATAGTACCTACATGTTTTATTATAATATTGAACTAACTAGAAGGGGTTTTAATTTACCTAGTGTAATTGTTTTTGAATAGTCATGAGTCATCTGCAAAAAAAATAATTATTAGCCTGTGAATTAACTATGTAAATAATTCCTTTGCTTAATATAAACAGTAGGAACACATGATCTTAAAGATCTATTATATTTTTGGGATCCTGTGATAATTATACACTATTGAATGGTTGAAAAAACTATTATCATATCTTAATCTAGTTTTAAATATTTTTTATTGTAGGTATTTGAATGTGTTATCAAATGGGTGAAACATGATTCAGATCATAGAATAGATTTTTTGCCAAAACTAATGGAACATGTACGTTTGCCATTACTAAAGCCTGATATATTATTTAATATATCTGAAGAACCTCTTCTAAAAAATAGTTATAAATGTTTGTTATTTTCATAAATATGCCATAATTATGGATTTATACATTTTATGAATTATTATTATAATTTTTTTAGGTATAATCGAAGCATTACATTTTAATCATCAAAAATCAGTTCAGTATTTCACCATTCCTAAAACAATTAGGTTTAAACCTAGACAGTTTGATGGTTTTCAAAAAGTATTATTCCAAATTGATTAATTTATCTTCGCAATAATTTTGTCTATTCAATTCTATTAGGTTATTCTAATGTTCAGTAATTCGAATACATCGCCAAAGTGTTATACTGAATGGTATGACCCAGCAACCAAGCTAAGAGAGAATGCACCAGGAATAAATGAATGTCGGTATTATGCTGGTTTCGGTGTAATACGTGATCAATTTGTGTTTGCTGTGGGAGGTGTTAATGGATCGAGTTGTAAATCTGTTAGTATGCTTGACGTATCTTCACAATCACCATCATGGGTTCCAATGGCTGACATGTTAGTTAGTAGAATGGATTTGGGAGTTGGTGTATTGGATGATTGTATATATGCAGTAAGTTAAATCAATATTTAACGTATTTTATATTAAGAATGTATATTATTTGTAATTTTAGGTTGGTGGAGGAGATATCGACAATCCATTAAAAAGTGTAGAGGTTTTTGATGTCATTACCCAAAAATGGAGAATAGTGTCTAGTATGACAATTGAGAGACTTCAATTGGGCGTTGGTGTACTCAATAATCGTCTATACGCTGTGAATAAATATATCATATTATTATTTATTTATTTAATTTACATTTTATTTAATTAAATTGTGTAGGTTGGAGGTTTTAATGGTAACCATTTGAAATCTGTTGAATATTATGATCCCACACTTGACATATGGACTCCAGTTGCAGAAATGTCTGAGTGTCGTCGAGGTGTTGGTGTAGGTGTTTTGGATGGTCTTATGTATGCAATTGGTGGCTATAATGGAAAGTTTCTTAAAAGTGTGGAGGTTTATAGACCAAGTGATGGAGTTTGGTCTTCTATACCTGATATGAATTTATGCCGATTTCGCCCTGGTGAGTAGTGACTATGACAATTATATTTTTTATGACGACCTTTGTAAAAATATATTGAATTTAAATTACATTATCTTATAGGAGTAGCCGTATTAGATGGTTTATTGTATGTTTTTGGCGGAGAATCTGCAGATAAATCTATTGTTGATACTTTTGAAATTTACAACCCTAACACTAATACTTGGACCTTGGAAAGATTGTCAAGAAATGGAGTACGAGTTTATGGTGGAGTAGTTGTCGATAGACCCCATCATTATCATTAATCAGCTTACAGTAGTACTCATTGTTAATAGTCATATGAACAAATGTTTGTGTAAATTATGATGACACGTGTATTGTTTTAAATATTTTTGTTATTTTCCATACCTATTTGATAAGAATGTTTTTTTTATAATTTATACTAACTATTTTAAAATAAAAAATCAAGCTATACTTAAATTATATATATAATCTACTATTTAAATTATATTTTTTAGTTTCTTTGTGGAACTTTGTAGTGTGTACACATTAAAAATGTACTTGAAATTTGTAGCAAATGATTATTTCATCATTTTATATACATGATAAAATATTCAAAATATTTCGACTCGTATTAGGAGATTTATAGATGTTTTGATTTTTTTTTTTAGTTGATTTTCTATAACTTTTAATAATAATGTTACTGTTGGGTGAGAAAGCTTAAATACTTAATTTTTTGTTCCTCGTACGTTTTTATGGTAACAGTTTAAAAATGTTATTAATGTATGATCACAATTTTTTATAAGCATTTTACTTCAAATTTTTAAAATACTATGCTGTTAAAAACGTATAAATCGTTCAATTTGTCTAGCTAAGGATTGAAAATTAAAAATAAGGTTTCTACTTTTCTGTAAGTAATTTATATTGTACCTAAAAAATCTAAAACATATATAAACCCAGTTTTTTTTGTGATAGATATTTTAAGTTCAAATTTCAGGCGATACTTCACAATTATATAATGAGTCACTATTTTAGTTGTTATGTAGTAATTTAAAAAAAATTATTCATGAATGGGCAATTGATATTTTAAAGTATATTATTATATTTTTTACCCTTCATTGACATTTTCAAATGCAATTTTTTCCATTTAGGCTGATGTACCTTAAGAGGACGCCACACCCGCATGTGTTGTCTCCGTCTTACAAATGTACATCATAGCAAAAACTCTTTTGCGAGGGACAACTTTTCTCGCACCATATTTGTTGTAGAACTACCAAATTTTCACAGCACTTAAAGAAGAACTTTATCTGTGTAACAGCGTGCTCTTTTTTTCAATAGCACCATCCAATCATTTTTTATAAGCAAATTAAAAAACCAAATGTTTAGAAGCAAATAACTTGTATTGTATATATGTTAGTATATCTACTATTTAAATTATATTTTTTAGTTTACACATTAAAAATGTACTTGAAATTTGTAGCACATGATTATTTCATCATTTTATATACATGATAAAATATTCAAAATATTTCGACTCGTTTTAGGAGATTTATAGGTAGATGAATTGATTTTTTTTTTTTTTACTTTATTTTCTATAACTGTTAATAATAATGTAACTGTTGGATCAGATACTTAATTCTTTGATCCTCATACGTTGTTATGGTAACAGTTTAAAAATGTTATTAATGTATGAGCACAATTTTTCATAAGCATTTTACTTCAAATTTTTAAAATACTATGCTGTTAAAAACGTATAAATTGTTAAATTTTTATAGGTAAGGATTGAAAATTAAAAATAAGGTTTCTACTTTTCTGTAAGTAATTTATATTGTACCTAAAAAATCTAAAAAATATATAAACCCAGTTTTTTTTGTGGTAGATATTTGTACCTTAAATAATGCTTCAATTTAATCTAATTGATGCACTTCTGACCAGGGGTGGACAGGGCCGGCTGATTACCAAGAACTTTCCTGGTAAGTTGCTTTTTCTTAATAATTTATTATAATATATTTATAATAAAATTCGGTATAAATATAAATTGTAAAAATTTTGTATTTTCGTAATATAACGCTTGAGTGTTCATTTTTGTTAAATTGATTATTTTAGGTTTTTCAGATTTTAGATTTTCATTCAGCTGATTGTCCTCCCTCTTCGGCATCAATGCATCATCAGAAATTATTATTTATGAGTACCTAGGGCGCGGATTTAAATATAAATTGTATTTTTTTCTGAATTTCTTAAAGCATTGCTCTCCTAGCAAGAAAATTTGTTGGTGTATGAAACGAAAATTTTTTTAATAACCATTTTTTGTCCTTTGTAGGACATTTTTATGGTTAGAAGGTATTTTTCGTAAATTGTATAAGGATAAATAAATTAGTATGAAACCCTCATTTGTTAAAACTTTGGTAGCATATATACATTTTTACATTTTGTGATGACGAAATGGAATGGGCTGGACAAAATACAGATTTCACGGGCTGAACAGTCGCCCAGTCCACCTCTGCTTCTGACTTTTGTGTGGTAAATTTATAAAATTCGCAATATATTTGAGTTGGAAAAAACCAAAAAAAAAAAACTTAAGAAGACGCTATCCTGCATACGTTGTCTCTGTCTTTAAACGCATAATGTAGCAAATTATATGTTCTGAATAATCTATAATTAAATATATTTAACTTAAGTACCTATGTTTAATATAGGAGCGACTTGACCTATTATCATTGGCATTTGGCGTAAATGACAATTGTGCTAAGGGTGCTTGGCACCCTGCATTTTAATGCTAGGTAGCACCCCGAATCTTGTGATTATCTTAAATAATAATTAAAAATCATGATCACGCTCCACTATCATGATTCAAGATAGACTATTGGACACATCAATTCATCAACATGGAAAGAGATACCTATGGGTAGTTAGTAAAATACTTATGATAGCCCTTAATAAATGTCCACTGTAATTACATGTTTTTATTATAACTACCTACAGTTACAGTGAAACTTCCATATGACGAACTATTTCAATTTTCAATTAACAAAATTGTTGAATTCCTTTTTTTTTAGAACCATACCAAATTAGAGCCAAATGTATTTTATTCTGC